CAACTAAATGGTCTGGCATCGGGGTGAGAGCTGAGGGGCAGGTGTCCCCCTGAAAGAAGTACTGGCAGAGGCCATTGTCCTCTTTTGAGCCCTCCCCCACTCAGAGCTGGCAGGTGGGCGCCATACCTGAGCCTCCAACAACCTGGCTCTCACTGTTTTTCCCACCCTCGTGATTCCCTGAAACATCATCCTCACCAACTTGCAGGCACCCCATGATTCTTTTAGTGATATTCGCATACAAACAGCCTGTCTTGGCCTGTACTGAGGACTTCCCTGAAACATCTCATGCAAGCAGCTTTTGACCTAGACATGCTCTCTATCTCCAGCTATCAGGCTCCCACCCCAGCATGCCAGGGTCCAGCCTCGGTGGGGTCTCAGGGTCCCGGAAGGATGCACAGCTAAGGCAAAGTGACTGAAACAATACACCCAGTGGGGTGCTAGAGGACAGTCAGGCTTTTTGGGCCCGACTGACTCACCGAGAAAAATCAATCTTTATTTTTATAGGGGAGGTTATTCAACATTCAATGCATAGTGTGATTATTAAAACAGACACAGTTACCACAGAAATAATTTCTAAAAACACAGAAGGTTTTACAGATCACTCATGTTAAACAAAGAAATAATGGAAAAGTATAGGAGGTCTCATAGATCAACCATATTAAATAAAGGTTATTTTGACCAAGAGAGGCATTAGTCAGATAGCCAATGAAGCTATACGGGCACAAACTTTCAGGTGCCAATTAGTAACTAGGTATCTATTAAGATTCTAGGGACTGGTCTAAATTAAAAGGATGCAAGCGGTGATTTATAGGTATATAGAAATCAACTATTATCCACTAAGGTTAAATTTATCTCGGTTAGGTAACTGGTTTTTTGCCTAAGTTTTTTGATTTATACATCTTGGGGGGGCAGATTTTGTATTTGTTTCCATGTATTGAGATTATTATTTCCAACTAGAACTCCTTGCTTCTTTACACTCCTGTCCAGGGTATGGGAGGGGGAGTGGCTCTAATAAATCTTAAGCTTTTGAGTGGTGACTCCTTAAGAAACATTCCTAGCAACAGCTTCCTCCAGCATTCTGGCAGTTGGTATGTCCATAGTTTAATTTTGTCCTTAACTTCCCAGGTGGGGGAAGCAGGCAGCACTAGGGTTGCTAGGGGTCCCTATTCTGTGGTCAGCAAGTCATTTCACACAGAATCAGAGGCATCATGCAGATTTTTTGTTATAACACACAGGTGTCCAAAAATCCCACCACCAATTGCTAGTAGGAACAGGCATACAGGAGGAGATAGACAGGAAATCCGACCACGGTCACCTCTGCTGTGCAGATGCGTCTCACCCGACCAGACTGTGTCAAGGGTCAGCTGTTGCTTGGCTCCTGATACCAGCACTTGTGGCAGCCAGACTTCCTTTGCAGCTTGGCCTCTCCCAAGCACCTCCAAGCGCAGCACAAGTAGCCCCCATCTATAGATTGCTTTGTAGCTCATGCCAGGTGACCCAGGGCAGAGACAGGTTATGGCTGACTATGGCCTGCACCTCCAAAGAGGTCCCCGAGCCAGCACACCTGATGGATAGCTTCAGACCTCAGCAAAGTACACCCTACCACCTGCATAGCAACACACTCAAGGAGTGGACTCAAGCAATCTACCAGATGCAGAGTTCAAAACGCTGCTTGTACAAATGCATCCTTAAGGGAAGAGTACAACTTAAGGGAAGAGTACATGAAGTTAGTGTGAACTTCAACAAAGAGATAGGACACAGAAAAATAAAACAGGGAACATTAAAAATGAAAAATTCCATTCCTGAAATGAAGAATACATTACAGAAAATCAACCGTGGACTAGTTGAAGCATAGGATGAAATAAGAGTTCAAGAAGATAAGAAGCAGAAAACACCCAATCAGACTAGGAAAGAGAAAGAAAGAAAAAAAAAATGAGGAGAGTATAAGGAGTCTCTGGAACAACTTCAAGCATACCCACATTTGCATTATGGCTGATGCCTTCAAGAGAAGAGAGAGCAAGGAATTGAAACCTATTGAAAATAATGATTGAAAGCTTTGCTAACCTGGTGAAGGAAGTTGATGTATAGGTTCAGAAAGGCAGAGTCCCAAACAAGAGGAACCAAAAAGGCCACACCAAGACACATCATCATTAAAATGCCAAAGGTTAAAGACAAACACAGAATTTTAAAAGCACCAAGATAAAAGAAGTTAGTTACCTACATGGGAGCTCCCATAAGACTGTCAGCCGATTTCTCAATAGACAGGTCAAAAGAGATTGGCAAATCTATCATTTTTAATCAAAGGACAGATAAAGAGCCACCCAGTCCAGAAAAAGCTAAAGGAGTTTATTATCACCAAACCAAAAGTACAAGAAATGTTAAATGATCTTCTTCAAGAAGAGGAAAAATAAACGAAAAATGTCAATAATAAAATGGCTATAAATGCATATTTATCAAAAATTACTTTAAGTGACCTTGGCTGGTGTAGCTCAGTGGATTGAATGTGGGCCTTTGAACCAAAGGGTCACTGGTCCCATTCCCATCCAGGCACATGCCTGGGTGGTGGGCTAGGTCCTCAGTAGGGGGTGCACGAGACATAAGCATACATTGATATTTCGCTCCCTCTCTTTCTCCCTCCTTTCCCCTCTGTAAAAATAAATAAATAAAAATCTTTTTAAAAATTAAGTGAAAATAAATCAATTGCTATAATCAAAAGACATATGGTGGCTGAAAGAATAACAAAACAAGACCCTCATATATGATGTCTACAAGAGATTCAATTCAGATCAAAAGAAAAACACAGACTAAGAGTAAACAGATGGAAAAAGCTATTTCATGAAAATGGAAACCAGTAAACAAACAAACACAAAAAAATGCTGTGGTATCAATGCTTATACCGGAGAAAATAGATTTTAAATAAAAGGCTATATGACAAGAGAGAAAGAAGGACCCAACCATTCCACTTCTGGGTATTTACCTGAAGAAACTCAAAACATGAATACAAAACCACATACACATCCATATGTTCATTGCAGCATTATTTACAAAAGCCAGATTGGGAAGCAGCCTAAGTGTCCATCCACAGATGGAGAGATAAGGAAGTGGTGCACATGCACAGCAAAATCTGACTCAGCCACACACACAAAAAGAATGAAATCTCTCCATTGGCAACAATATGATGGAGGGTATGGTGCTGAGTGAAATAAGTCAGACAGAGAAAGACAAATGCCAGATGACTGCACTTATATGTGGAATCTGAAAAATAAAGTAATCAGCTCTGACTGCTGTGGTCCAGTAGGTTGAGCACCAGCTGCAAACAAAAGGGTCACCAGTTCAATTCCCAGTCAGGGCACATGCCTGGGTTGTGGACCAGGTCCCCAGTAGGGGGCAAGGGAGAGGCAACCACACACTGATGTTTCTCTCTCTTCCCCTCTGTCTGAAAATAAATAAATAAAATTTCTAAACAAATAAAATAAAATAAAAAATAAAGGAATCAAGGTGAACAGAAACAGACTCATATGTACAGGGAACAGACTGAAGGTTTTTAGAAGGGAGGGAAGTTACAGGGACCTGGTGAAAAAAGGTGAAGGGATTAAGAAGCACACATTGGTGGTTAAAGAACAGTCATGGAGATGTAAAGTGCAGCACTGGGAATAGAGTCGTTAATATTGTAATAACTACAAATGGTGTCAGAAGAGTACTGGATTTATCAGAGTGATTGGTTCATGATTTATATAAATGTGTAATCACAGAGTCATACACCTGAAACTAATGCATTATTGTACATCAACTAATTTAAAAATTAAAAATATTTAAAATATATCTTGAATTCATTATATAAATGGATTCATTTCTTCACTACCCTTAATGAAAATGGAGAATAAAATGTAAAATACCTCCTAGGATGACCGTGAAAGTGCACAAACACACTTCTGCTACATTCATTCCCAAGTGCTATGAGCCCAGGAAAGTGACCTGTGAGGGCTGAGTCAGCCTCTTCTTCACAGAACAGCAAGTTCACTGAAGAGAATGAGAGACACAGAACCTGTGATGACTGAGGTGTGGTGAACTGGCGAACACTCTCTCAAATGAACGTGATCTTCTCCCTCAAGGAGAGTCAACAGGCAGTAGACACCTGACAGCACTTGTTGTCTGGATGGAATGGAAGTCCTCAAAGGAAAACCAGGGTTCTGGCAAATGTGTGTCTCCTCACAGCAGCCAGACAGCTTCCCAGAGCTGACAACCATTTCCAGTGGGGTCTGTGGTAACATTAACAAATGTGATTTTTGATGATGTGTCATTAAATGCACCAACACTGGGAGATCTCTATCACTTAGTGAAACAATGGATCACTTTCAAATAATCCTGCATCAGTACACAAGGCTCTAAAGTAACGTAACAGAATAGGAAATATTCAGTGGGTTTGTTTCAGGTTCCACTTTGCAAAGAGCTTTTCAGGAACTACCACTTGTGTGGCTTTAGTGTATGATCCAAGATGAATATCCACACTTACCTGAAAAGGTCATTAAAAATGCTCCCCCTACATATTTCTGAGGCTGTAATTTCTGTTAACATATCAAAAGTTAATAATATTATTGTAAATAAATTAATTTCTTCAGTTTTATTTTTTGTATGATAAATATTGATAGCTATAACCCACACAAACAAAATTATTTTGGGGGTCGTCCCTATTTTATAAGACTGTATAGATGCTCTGAATACAAAATGTTTGAGAGTCACTGAATAAAACAGCCCGTGGGCAGGGAGTCAGGGAGACAGAGGGACAGAGTTCTCCGTGCAGGAGGAGGGCTCGGGGCAGAGTCCCGGGTCCCCAGGCCTGGCTCCCAGAGCGTCAGCCAGAAGACCAGGGTGTCAGTCTGGGGCGGGGACTCTCAGTGTTGGGGTTTCCCTTCTCCATCTCACGGGACCTTTTCTGCTTGGAAACTCAAAACGCTACTGCACTTCTCCCTTGGGTGTCCCAATCCTAGATCAGCCAATCAGCGTCACCGTGCTTTCTGATATAAAGTCCTCACCTAGTACTCAGATGCCTTCTTCCCCGACACTCAGGGTCGGGTGATGGAACCCCAAACCCTGCTCCTGCTGCTCTCGGGGGCCCTGGCCCTGACAGAGACCTGGGCTGGTGAGTGCGGGGTCGGGAGGGAACTACCTGTAAGGGGCCTAAGCGAGGGGACCCAGAGGGCAACAGCGAGCCTGCAGCACCCCAGGCCCAGACCCCAGACCCCCGACTCCCGCATCGGCTCCGCCCCTGCCCCTCCTCTCACCCCTCCTCGAAACCACCGCCTCCTTCTCCCTGCCCCCCCCCACCCCCTGCGCCCTGCGCCTACCCACCCGACTGAAGACTCAGGACGCCGGTCCTCCCCGCCCCCAGGACCCCACAGCTTCAGATATTTCCACACCTTCGTGACTGGACCGGGCCAAGGGAAGAACGGGTACATCGCCCTGGGCTACGTGGACGACACGGAGATCTTGCGGTTCGACAGCGACACCGCGTGTCCGAGGCTGGAGCCGCGGGTGCCATGGCTGGAGCCGCCGCTCATGGAGCAGGAGGATCCAGATGGGTGGGACGAGCAGACGACGCAGGTCCTGGAGGACATCGAAGAGAGCTTCCGAGAGGACCTGAACTACCTGAGCGCCTGCTACAACGACAGCGAGGATGGTGAGCCACGCACTCCCGGGTCCTGCCACGACCCCCACGAGCACAGACCCACCGGGGGTCGCCCAAGTCTTCGAGTCACAGCATCCCCCCCCCCCCCCCCCCCCCGCCCCAGGCTGCAGGAAGCTCCGAGCCCCCAGGGCGGGAGGAGCCCCCGGGGATTGGCCCTGGTTAGATTTTCATTCAGTTTAGGATTAATCCCCGAGGGGGTGGCAACTAATCCGGACTGGGACACACTTGCCTTGGGCCTGGGCTAAGTGGTTGTGCCTAACCTGTGGGCGGTGTCAGGGCCCCACACCCAGCAGGAAATGACAGGCTGCGTCGTGGGGTCGGACCGGCGCTTCCTCCACGGATACACTCAGTCGGCCTACGACCGCACCAAAACCTTCGACCTGGCTGTGGAGCGAGGCTCTTCCACCGAGGCTGACTCGGAGGTCCGGATCACTGTCGCTGTCGGGCGCGACACGGTGGAGGAACACGACGTGGATGGCTGGAGGGATTACCTGGAGTTCACCTGCGTGCGCTGGCTCCGCCTGTTCCTGAAGAAGGGCAGGGAGACCCTGCTCCGAGCAGGTACCAGGGCTTCTGCCTCCCCGAGGAGGGGACCTGTGGGCTGGGGCGGCTTCCTGCAAGGAGAGGAGGGAAATGGGGCAGTGTCAGAATGTCTCTCCTGCTCCAGAGAGGGAAGAGTCCCCCAAGTGTCATTCACTGACACCCCTTGGACCCACCTCTCTCTAAAGGAATAAGGGACCCAGCCTCTCCCTGAAACACCCCACAGCCATTCCCTCACCTGGTGCACCAGGACGCTGTCCCTGGTTCTCAGGCTGAGATCCTCTCTGGAGGCCTGACTCTGGCTTTTGCTGAGTCATCAGCCTCCACCTGAGTCTGTGTCTCCCCTTAGAGACCTGCACACTCCTACCCTAGGTTCTCACCCTGATTTTGGAAATTTCCAAGAAAGGAGATTATCCCATGTGCCTCTGTCCAGGCTGGTGTCTGGGTGTTGCTCTCCCTTCCCCCACCCCCGCTGTCCTGTCCACTGTCAGGGTGGTCACATGAGCACTGCTGGAGTGTCCCATGACCATGCAGAGTTCCCAAATTTTCTCACCCTCCCCTCAGACCCTCCAAAGACACACCTGACCCACCACCCCATCTCTGACCATGAGGTCACCCTGAGGTGCTGGGCCCTGGGCTTCTACCCTTCGAACATCACCCTGACCTGGCAGCGTGAAGGGGAGGACCTGACCCAGGACATGGAGCTGGTGGACACCAGGCCTGCAGGGGATGGGACCTTCCAGAAGTGGGCAGCTGTGGCCGTGCCCCCTGGAGAGGAGCAGAGATACACGTGCCATGTGCAGCACCAGGGGCTACTCAAGCCCCTGACCCTGAGATGGGGTGAGGAGGGGACAGAGCCACTCCTCAGGGTGTCCCTGAACAGGGTCAGGACTCAGGCCTGAGGCTGACCTCTCACTTTCCCCTCACAGACCCCCCTCCTCAGACCACCATCACCATCGTGGGCATTGCTGCTGCCCTGGGTCTCCTTGGAGCTGTGATCACTGGAGCTGTGCTGTGGAGGAGGAAGTGCTCAGGTGGGCAAGGGGTGGGGCTGAGTTTCCTGTCCCCCTGGGGGTCAAGCCCAGGTGGAAGTGTGCTCTGCCTCCTTAATGGGCATCGTGTCCCCACACAGGTGCTTGTCCATCTGGGGCCTATTTCCTAACACTGACTCTTTAGTGAGGCCCATGGGAAAGTGAGGGACACATTTATCACCTGATGGTTCTAGCAATGGGAACTGGTTCCCAGCTGTCCCAGGTCAGAGTGTAGGGTCTCTGCTATGACAGACGTCCAGGTGGGTTGCTGATTCACTCCCTACACATGTACTTACCCTGTGTTTCCTGATCCTACCCTGGGTGTTCAGTCACAGTTCTGGAATCTTCCCTGTGCTTCAGGAGTATGGGGCTCCTTTAGGGTCACAGGACCCAGCCTTCCCCCTGACTTCTCACAGAACATTTTCTTCCCACAGGCAGAGGCAGGGAGAACTACACTCAGGCTGCCTGTAAGTCTGGGTGTTGGGGAGGTGACATCTGGGACCCTTGGGAGAGTGTGGGCTGGAGTCTGTGAGGAGGGCTCCCCCACCCTGTTACTCTGCTGTTGGGTCTTCCCCAGGCAGCAACAGCACCCAGGGCTCTGGGGTAACTCTCAAAGCTTTTACTTGTGAGGTCGAGTGGGCAGGAAGTGGGGGGCTTGGGACAGAAGGGCATGACTGGGGTTTGGGGACTCTCAGAATGGGACATTCTGAGCATGTGGTGGGCTGTGGGAGAATGTGACACTTCTGAGACTGACCTGAACTTGTTCATGACAACTTTCTTTCCCAGGTAACAGAGCTGCTTTCTACGGGACTTGGTGCTGAAATAGTCACTGCAGCCTCCCCTTGGGACTTTAAGGATCCCTGACTGCTCTTTCTGCAACCAGCATCGGAACATGTCTGTGTTCTTAGCAGTGTCAGTGAGGGGCTGGTCACCAGGCCACCCTCCCCTGGGGCCTGTGTCCTCTCCCCTGGGGACTGTCCTGTCCTAGCAGAGTTGGGGTGAGGCCATCCCCTTCCTGGTCATTCCTTGAGTAAGTCATCTTTGTTGCTCTTTTGTCCTTGCTGCTTCAGGAGAACCTTGTCCCACCAGGACCTGGGATCCCAAGGGCTTAATTGTCACATGGCTCTTATCGTGGCTCCAGGACTGTAGGGCTTCCTGTAGCCGGTGAGGGCTTCCTGTAGCCACGTCAGCCTAGATCATGGCTTGGTCTACCCATTGGCCCCTTTTGGGCATTTGTGTTTCTTTTTGTAGGTGTTATACTTATTGTTGCTTTTTGAAAATAGAATTATTTGGCCCTGGGTGGTGTGACTCAGTGGACTGAGCACCAGCTGCAAACCAAAGGGTTGCCAGTTTGATTCCCAGTCTAGGGTACATGCCTGGGTCTGTGCCCCGGTCCCCAGTAGAGGGCGCTCTAGAGGCAACCACACATTGATGTTTTCCTCTGTTTCTCCAACCAATCCTTCCTCACTTTCTAAAAATAAATAAATAAAATCTTTTAAAAATACAATAAAATTATTGGGGTGTGTTTATTAAATTATTGGTTTGTGCTCTTATTAAATTTATTGGGGTGCATTGGTTAACAGGATTGTGTAGGTTTCAGGTGTACATTTCCATGATACAGGATCTGTACATTGCACTGGGTGCCCACCACCCAAACTCAAACCATCTTCCATCACCAAGTATGAAGCCCCTCCTTCCCCCAACCCCCTTCCCTCTGGGAACCACCACACTGCTGTCTGTGTCCATGAGTTTCAGGTTTATATTCCACCTGTGAGTGAAATCATAGGGTTCTTAGCTTTTTCTGGCCAGGTTACCAAGTGTGATATTCTCCAGGCCCATCCATGTTGTTAGAGAGGGTAGTATTCTGTGTTGTCCTGTGGATGAATAGGTTTGGTGTATGAGTTTCTCATCTCATCCTCCTCTGGGTGTCTCCCTCTGACAGCAACAGGAGGCATTTTGCCTGTCATTGTCCCCACATGACCAGGGTGGCCCCTGTACTCAGGAATCCATGGTGTCGAGAGAGGAAGTTTCAGACTCATCCTGCTCTTACCTCCCTGGGCATGATTGTTCTCCCACCTTTTCCCAGCCTCCTCCAGGGAACTGGGTTCTGGAATCAGCAGAGAGCAGGGGGCCTGTAATGTCTCATCTCAGACACATTCCTGCTGCGATTCTGCTCTGCTCAGCCACCGTCTCACCCAGCCCTTCACTCTAGTGGGGGCCCCAGTGCAAACTCAGGGATTCACAGAGCAGAGGCCCCTGCAGGTTTAGGGGGGCAGCACTGGCGGGGACATGTGGGGCATCAATGGCAGTGTGAGTGCAGGTTATGCTGTGACTGCCAAAGCACAGTTGGGGACTGGGCCACATCAATAAAGACACTGTCACTACAATAGGGAGGTGTCCTACAGGGATGAGTCACTCAACTAGTAGTTTTTGAGTACTAGGTAGATGACACACCATTTTTACATCTGGAATACAGACAATTCCTGGAGATATTTCAAGACTGGGTCCAAACCATCACAATAAAGTATAATCACAATAAAGTGAGTCTCACTTTAAACTTCCTGGTTCCATCATAAATATAAATGTTAGGCTTATGTTGTACTGTAGTCTATTATGTGTTCAATAGTATTATGTCTAAAAATAATGTATATGACTTTATTAAAATATACTTTGTTGTTAATAAAAATGCTAACTCTCATCTGACCCTTTAGTGAGCTGTAATCTTTTTGCTGGTAGGAAGTCTTACCTTCAACTGTAAAACAAACACAGCCTGGCTGCAGGGCTCGGCTGGAGCATGGCCCACATACCAAAAGGTTACAGGTTCGATCTCTGTTAAGGGCATGTATCTGGCTTGCAGATTCAATTTCTGATCAGGGTGGGCACCTCAGGGAACCAATCAATGTTCTTCTTACATCAATGTTTCTCTCTCTCTCTCTCTCTCTCTCTCTCTCTCTCTCTCTGTCTCTCTGCCTTCCTCTCTCTATAAAACCTGTAACAACAATCCTCAGGTGAGGATAAAAATTAAAACACGCAGATCTGTGAAGTGCAGTAGCCTGCTGTATACCTGTGAGTCAGTGAACCGAGCACAGGCTGAATGGCCGTCCTTACAGAGCACATACTGTGTGGCAAAGGGACAGATTGTGCACTTAACCTTCAGATAACATCCCTCTGTAACCAAATTACAGCAGCAGCAGCAGTAGGAGTTTCCTGTACATCACTCCTAGGGACCAGCAGGTGGTCAGTCAGCACAACACAACTGTCTCCATGCTGTAAAGAGGGTAACAGCTGCAGGGTGAAGGTGGTCACACCGAGTTCAAGTAGTTATTAGGTGCAGAGACCAAGAGTACTTTATTAGAAGCCTATCATCTGTCGGACAAGTGTGGAATGTGATGAGAGGTCAGTAAACGCTCAACGGATTGAGGAACAGAAATAAACGAGCGCCCTCAACTCTCTATGCTGCGTGTTTACAGCCAAGAGGTAGCGCACGTGGCCCTCCTACAGGGAGGGGCGAAGAGTTCTGGGTGCAGGCGGAGGAGTCAAGACAAAGCCCCAAGTCCCCAGCCCTGTATACTCGTGACGCTCCACCCGTCCTCCCTTGCATTGGGTGTGGAGAGCACCAATCAGCGGCAGATCGGCCCGGGTGAGCGCCCTCAGCCGGAAACAGGAACTCCTTCACCTCTGATGGGCCCATGGGGCCCCGAACCCTACTGCTGCTCTCGGGGACCCTGTCCCTGACCCAGACCTGGGCAGGTGAGTGCGGGGTCCAGAGGGAACGGCTTCTGCGGGCCAGGAGCGAGGGTGTCCTGCTGGGGGCGCAGGACCCAGGGAAGACCAGTATCCGGCGCCCCAGCACGGACTCCAAACTCGCGCATCGGCCCGCCCTCCACCAACCCTACGACTTCCCGGGCCCACTTCTCAACCGCGGCCTTCCTTTCTGTCCCCCGGGCGCCCTGACCCTACGGGCCGCACCACGAACTGAGGATACACGTGCTCCCCGCCCCCAGGCCCCCACAGCCTGACGTACCTCCACGCTGCTGTGCACAAACACGGTGGCGGGAAGAACCGGTACATCCGCGTCATCTACGTGGACGACACGGAGATCGTGCGGTTCGACAGCAACGCTTCGAGGCCGAAGCTGGAGCCGCGAGTGCCATGGATGGAGCAGTCGTGGGTGGAGCAGGAGGGTGCCCAATTTTGGGAGGAGCAGACGAGGGAAATCAAGCACAACGAACAGAGGAGCAGAGCGAACCTGAACAACCTGCACGCCCACTACAACCAGAGCCACGGTGAGCCACGCGCGCCCGGGGCTCGGGTACGAACCCATCCTCAGAGACAGGCCAGGGTCGCTGGGCATATCCGGTGGAGCCTAAATCGGAGGCCTTAGCCCCTTGGGGAGGGGAGGGGCTAACTCGGCGGGGCTGACTACGGGGTGGGGTAAGGGTCTCACACTTGGCAGGAAGTGACCGGCTGCGTCGTGGGGTCGGACAAGCGCTTCCTCCGCGGGTTCAGTCTGTTCGCCTACGACGGCGCCGACTACGTCGCCCTGAACGAGGACCTGGGCTCCTGGACCGCTCCCACAGGGATCATCTGGAGCAACGTTCTGCTGGTCCCTAATGCGGACGTCCGGAGAGTCTTCCTGGAGGATACGTGCGTGCGCCGGCTCAGCCTGCTCCTGGAGAAGGGGAAGGAGACGCTGCAAAGAGCAGGTACCAGGGCGCTGGCCTCCCCGAGGAGGGGATCTGTGGGCTGGGGCGGCTTCCTACAAGGAGAGGAGGAAACTGAGGCAGTGACAGAATGTCCCTCCTGCTCCGGAGAAGAAACAGCTCCCCAGAGTTCTTTCTTCTAAAGACAATAAGAGACACAGCCTTTCCCTGAAACACCCCACAGCGGTTCCGGTTCCCTCACACACTGCAGCGCCTCGTGTACCAGGACGCTCTCCCTGGTTCTGGGCTGAGACAGTCTCTGCAGGCCTGACTCTGGCTTTTCTAAGTTATTCAGCCTCCACCTGAGTGTGTGTATCCTCTTAGAGACCTGGACACTCCTACCCTAGGTTCTTACCCTGATTCTGGAAATTTCGAAAAAATAGGAGATTATCCTTTGTGCCTCTGTCCAGGCTGGTGTCTGGGTGGGGCACTCCCTTCCCCCACCCCACTGTCCTGTTCACTCTCACAGTGGTCACGTGAGCACTGCTGGAGTGTCCCACGACCGTGCAGAGTTTCTGAATTTTCTCACCCTCCTCTCAGACCCTCCAAAGACTCACATGACCCGCCACCCCATCTCTGACCATGAGGTCACCCTGAGGTGCTGGGCCCTGGGCTTCTACCCTGCGGACATCACCCTGACCTGGCAGCGTGAAGGGGAGGACCTGACCCAGGACATGGAGCTTGTGGAGACCAGGCCTGCGGGGGATGGAACCTTCCAGAAGTGGGCGGCTGTGGCAGTGCCCCCTGGAGAAGAGCAGAGATACACATGCCGTGTGCAGCACCAGGGGCTGCCTGAGCCCCTGACTCTGAGATGGGGTGAGGAGGGGGCATGGGCACAGAGCCTCTCCTCAGGGCATCCCTGAGCAGGGTCAGGACTCAGGCCTGAGATTGACCTTTCACCTTCTCTCGCAGAACCTCCTTCTCAGACCACCATCATCATCATCATCTTTGTGGGCATTGCTGCTGCCCTGGGTCTCCTTGTAGCTGTGGTCACTGGAGCTGTGCTGTGGAGGAAGAAGAGCTCAGGTGGGCAAGGGGTGGAGTTTCCTGTCCCCCTGGGGGTCAAGCCCAGGTGGAAGTGTGCTCTGCCTCATTAATGGGCATCGTGTCCCCACACGGATGCTTGTCCATCTGGGGCCTATTTCCTAACACTGACTCTTTAGTGAGGCCCCGTGGGAAAGTGAGGGACACATTTATCAGCTGATGATTCTAGTGATGGGGACTGATTCCCAGCTGTCCCAGGTCAGAAGGGAAGGTCCCTGCTGAGGACAGATGTCCAGACTTGCGGTTTGTCCAGTCCTAGCACATGTACATTCCCCATATTTCCTGATCCTACCCTGGGTGTTCAGTCACAGTTCTGGAACCTTCCCGGTGCTTCAGAAATGTGGGGCTCCTTTAGGGTCACAAGACCCAGCCTTCCCCCTGACTTCTCACAGAACGTTTTCTTCTCACAGGCAGAAGCAGGGAAATATATGCTCAGGCTGCCTGTAAGTCTGGGTGTTGTTGGGCAGGTGATATCTGGGACCCTTGGGAGAATGTGGGCTGGAGTCTGTGAGGGGGGCTCCCCAACCCCATAACTCTGCTATTTTGTCTTCCCCAGACAGTGACAGTGCCCAGGGCTCTGATGTGTCTCTCACAGCTCCTGATGGTGAGACCCTGAGGGCAGGAAGTGGGGGCATTTGGACTAAGGGGCACAGCTGTGTTTTCGGGATTCTCAGAGTGGGACATTCTGAGCATGTGTTGGGCTGTGGGACAATGTGACACTTCTGAGATGACCTGACTTTGGTCAGGACAACTTTCCCAGTGTGACAGAGCTGCCTTGTCCAGGTTTGGTACTAAATAATCATTGCAGCCTCCCCTTGGGACTTTCAGGATCCCTGTGTGCTGTTTCTGCAACCAGCGTGGAAATGTGTCAGTGTTCTTATCCGCATCATGTCAGGAGGTGGTCCCCAGGCTACCCTCACTACAGGGACCTGTGTCCTCTCCCCTGCAAACTGTACTAGCAGAGTTGGGGTGAGGCCATCCCCATCCGGATCATCCTCGTCTGGGTCATCTCTGTTAGTCCTTTGTCCTTGCCACTTCAGGAGAACCTTGTGCCACCAGGACCTGGGATCCTAGGGACTTGAGGGTCACCCAGACCTTGTCCTAGCTCCAGCACTGTGCTCAGTGAGGGCTTCCTGTGGCCACTTCAGCCTGGGCTCAGGCCTGGGTCTGTCCTGCAGCCCCTATCTTTTGAGTACTTGTACTTTTTTTTTTGTAGATATTGTACATTTTAAGACTTTTTAAAAATAAAGTTATTGGGGTATTTTTATTAAATGTTAAGTGTGTGTCTTTATTAAATTTATTGGGGTACAATGGTTAAGAGGATTCTGTAGGTTTCAGGTACACATTTCTATGATACAGAATCTGTATATTACACTGGGTGCCCACCACCCAAAGTCAAATCATCTTCCATCACCAGGTACTAGGTCCCTCCTCCCCCAACCTCCTTCCCTCTGGGAGCCACCACACTGCTGTCTGTGTCCATGAGTTTCAGGTTTATGTCCCACATGTGAGTGAACTCATATGGTTCTTAGCTTTTTCTGACCAGATTACCAAGCATGATACTCTCCAGGCCCATCCATGTTGTCTTATAGTATTCCCTGTATTCCCTGTTGTCTTATAGCCGAGTAATTCTTCTCATCTTATCCTCCTCTGCCTGTCCACCTCTGACAGCAACAGGAGGCATTTTGCCTGTCATTGTCCCCACATGACCAGGGTGGCCCCTGCACTTAGGAATCTGTGGTGTCGAGAGTGGAAGTTTCAGACTCATCCTGCTCTTACCTCCCTGGGTGTGATTGTTCTCCCACCTTTTCCCAGCCTCCTCCAGGGAACCGGGTTCTGGAATCAGCAGAGAGCAGGGGGCCTGTAATGTCTCATCTCAGATATGTTCCCGCTGCGATTCTACTCTGCTCGGCTGCCGTCTCCCCCAGCCCTTTGATCTAGTGGGGGCCCCAGTGCAAACTCGGGGATTCACAGAACAGAGGCCCCTGCAGGTTTAGGGGGGCAGTACTGTAGGGACATGTGGGGGCATCGATGGCAGTGTGAGTGCAGGTTGTGTTGTGTTGTGGCCAGCACAGCTGGGGGCTGGGGCCACATCATAAAGACACTGTCACTACAACAGGGAGTTGTCCTACAGGGATGGGTCACTCAACTAGTAGTTTTTGAGTACCGGGTAGATGACACACCATTTTTACACCTGGAATACCAACATGTCATGGAGATACTCGAGACTGGGTCTAAACCATCACAATAAAGGACAATCACAATAAAGTGAATCTCACGAACTTCCTGGTTCCATCGTGAATATAAATGTTAGGCTTATGCTGTACTGTACTCTATTGTGTGTTCAATCGTATTATGTCTAAAAATAATGTATATGACTTTATTAAATACTTTGTCATTAATAAAAATGCTATCATCTGACCCTTTAATTAGTTGTAATCTTTTGCCAGTGGGAAATCTTACCTTCAGCTATAAAACAAACACAGCCTGACTAGGGTGCTCGGCTGGAGTGTCACCGCACACACCAAAAGCTTACGGGTTCTATCTCCGTTATGGGCATGTACCTGGCTGCAGGTTTAATTTCTGCTCAGGGTGGGCACCTCAGGGAACCAATTTCTCTCTCTCTCTCTCTCTCTCTCTCTCTCTCTCTGCCTTCCTCCCTCTGTAAAACAACAAGTCTCAGGTGAGGATGGAAATTAAACTGCAGATCTGTGAAGTGCAGCAGCCTGCTGCATACCTGTGAGTCAGTGAACCGAGCACAGGCAGAATGGCCGTCCTTACAGAGCACATACTGTGTGGCAAAGGGACAGATTGTGCACTTAACCTTCAGATAACATCCCTCTGTAACCAAATTACAGCAGCAGCAGCAGGAGTTTCCTGTACATCACTCCTAGGAACCAGCAGGTGGTCAGTCCGCACAACACAACTGTCTCCATGCTGTAAAGAGGGTAACAGCTGCAGGGTGAAGGTGGTCACACCGACTTCAAGTGTTATTAGGTGCAGAGAGCAAGAGTACTTTATTAGAAGCCTATCATCTGTCGGACAAGTGTGGAATGTGATGAGAGGTCAGTAAACGCTCAACGGATTGAGGAACAGAAATAAACGAGCGCCCTGAACTCTCTGTGCTGCGTGTTTACAGCCAAGAGGTAGCGCACGTGGCCCTCCTACAGGGAAGGGCGGAGAGTTCTGGGTGTGGGAGGAGGAGTCAAGACAAAGCTGAGTCCCCAGCCCTGGATACTCGTGACGCTCCACGCGTCGTCACTTGCGTCGGGTATGAAGAGCACCAATCAGCTGCAGATCAGCCCAGAAGAGCGCCCGCCGCGGGAAGAGGAACTACTTCTCTGACGCTCCACTCAGGCCCATGGCGCCCCGAACCCTCCTCCTGCTGCTCTCGGGGACCCTGACCCTGACCCAGGCCTGGACGGGTGAGTGCGGAGTCGGGAGGGAACGGCCTCTGCGGGGTAGGAGCGAGGGGGCCCGCAGGGGCGCATGACCCGAGGAAGACCAGTGTCCAGCGCTGCTGCACGGACTCCAGACGTGCAGAGCGGCCCGCCTTCCCCCGGGCCTACTGCTTGCCGGTCTCCTCTTCTCACCCGCGGCCCTCCTTTCTGTCCCCCGGGCGCCCAGGCCCTGCAGGCGCCACCGAGAACCCAGGACACGCGTCCTCCCCGACTCCTGGCTCCCACACCCTGAAATATTTAAGCACCACCGTGTACAAACCGGGCCGCGAGAAATACCCGTACGTCGTCGTCGTTGTCTATGTGGACGATACGCCGATCCTGAGTTACGACAACGACCATAAGCTGCAGCAGCGGGTACCGTGGTTGGAGCAGTCGTGGGTGGAGCAGGAGGGCGCACAGTTTTGGAAGGAGCAGACGCGGGAAATCGAGCACAACGAACAGGGGAGCATAGCGAACCTGAACAAGCTGCGCGCCCACTACAACCAGAACGACAACGGTGAGGCACGCGCTCCCAGGGCTCGGGGACGAGCCCCATCCTCACAGACGGGCCGGGTCGCGCGGCTTATCCAGTGGAGCCTCACCTGGAGGCCTTAGCCCTGTGGGAGCGGGGAGGGGCTAACTCGGGGGAGCTGGGCTGACTGCGAGGCGGGGTCAGGGTCTCACACTTGGCAGGAAATGACCGGCTGCGTCGTGGGGTCGGACAAGCGCTTCCTCCGCGGGTTCAGTCTGTTCGCCTACGACGGCGCCGACTACGTCGCCCTGAACGTCGCCCTGAACGAGGACCTGGGCTCCTGGACCACCACGGCCGCGGGGGTCAACAGGAACAATGTTGTGCGGGTCCCTGACGCAGACGTCACAAGGGTCTTCCTGAAGGGCAAGTGTGTGCACCGGCTCCGCCTGTTCCTGGAGAAGAGGAAGAGGACCCTGCTACAAGCAGGTAGAGCAGGTACTAGCACCCGGGCCTCCCCGAGGAGGGAATCTGTGGGCTGGGGCGGCTTCCTACAAGGAGAGGAGGGAAATGGGGCAGTGTCAGAATGTACCTCCTGCTCGGGAGAGGGAAGAGTCCCCCAGGTTTCCTCATTCTGTGCCTCACCCGTCGGCCCAGCTTTCTCTAAAGGACAATAAGGGACCCAGCCTCTCCCTGAAACACCCCACAGCAGTTCCCTCACACCCTGCAGCACCTGGTGCACCAGGACACTCTCCCTGGTTCTCAGGCTGAGACCCTCTCTGGAGGCCTGACTCTGGCTTTTCTGAGTCATCAGCCTCCACCTGAGTGTGTGTCTCCCCTTAGAGACCTGGACACTCCTACCCTAGGTTCTCACCCTGATTCTGGAAATTTCTAAAAAATAGATTATCCTTTGTGCCTTTGTCCAGGCTGGTGTCTGAGTGGTGCACTCCCTTCCCCCACCCCACTGTCCTGTCCACTCTCAGGGTGGTCACACAAGCACTGCTGGAGTGTCCCATGACCATGCAGAGTTCCCAAATTTTCTCACCCTCCCCTCAGACCCTCCAAAGACACACCTGACCCACCACCCCATCTCTGACCACGAGGTCACCCTGAAGTGCTGGGCCCTGGGCTTCTACCCTGCGGACATCACCCTGACCTGGCAGCGTGAAGGGGAGGACCTGACCCAGGACATGGAGCTTGTGGAGACCAGGCCTGCAGGGGATGGTACCTTCCAGAAGTGGGCAGCTGTGGCCGTGCCCCCTGGAGAGGAGCAGAGATACACATGCCATGTGCAGCACCAGGGGCTGCCCGAGCCCCTGACCCTGAGATGGGGTGAGGAGGGGATGTGGGCACAGAGCCTCTCCTCAGGGCATCCCTGAGCAGGGTCAGGACTCAGGCCTGAGGTTGACCTTTCACCTTCCCTCGCAGAACCTCCTTCTCAGACCACCATCATCATTGTGGGCATCGCTGCTGCCCTGGGTCTCCTTGGAGCTGTGGTCACTGGAGCTGTGCTGTGGAGGAGGAAGTACTCAGGTGGGCAAGGGGTGGGGCTGAGTTCCCTGAACCCCTGGAGGTCAAGTCCAGGTGGAAGTGTGCTCTGCCTCCTTAATGGGCATCGTGTCCCCACACGGGTGCTTGTCCATCTGGGGCCTATTTCCTAACACTGAGTCACGGGACCCAGCCTTCCCCCTGACTTCTCACAGAACGTTTTCTTCCCACAGCCAGAGGCAGGAAGAGCTACATTCAGGCTGCCTGTAAGTCTAGGTGTTGGGGAGGTGACATCTGGGACCCTTGGGAAAGTGTGGGCTGGAGTGTAAGAGGGGCTCCCCCACCCCTAACTCTGCTGTTGTGTCTTCCCCAGGCAGCAGCAGTGCCCAGGGCTCTGATGTGTCTCTCACAGCTCATAATGGTGAGACTCTGAGGGTAGGAAGTGGGGGCATTGGGTCCTAGGGGCACAAATCTGTTTTGGGAATTTTCAGAGTGGGACATTCTGAGCATGAGGTGGCTGTGGGGGAATGTGACACTTCTGAGACTGACCTGAATTTGTTCACAACAACTTTCTTTCCAGTGTGACAGAGCTGCTTTCTACAAGACTTGGTGCTTAAACACTTGTTGCAGCCTCCCCTTGGGAATTTCAGGATCCCTGTCTGCTGTTTCTGCAACCAGCATCAGAATGTGTTTACATTTTCATCAGCATTATGTGAGGAGCTGGTCACCAGGCCACTCTCCCCACAAGGACCTTCCTCCTCTCCCCTGGGGACTATCTTGTCCTAGCAGAGATGGGGTGAGCCCATCCCCATCCTGGTATTTCTTCTGCTTCCTCATCTTTGTTGCTCCTTTGTCCTTGCTGCTTCAGGAGAGCCTTGTCCCACTAAGACCTGGGCTCCCAGGGACTTCAGTGTCACCCAGGCCTTGTCATGGCTCCAGGACTGTACTCAGTGACGGCCTCATGGGCCGTCAGCCAGGGCTCAGACCTGGGTCTTTTCCTCAACCTGTATCTTTTGGTCATTTGCTGTTTCTTTGTTTTTGTAGATGTTGTACCTATTTTTGTTTTCTGAACTTATTGGAGTATATTATTTTTAATAAATGTATTTCAGTGCCTTTGGTTACTGGGATCATATAGGATTCAGTTGTATATTTCTATGATACTGTGCAATGAGGAGTCACTCCACCAGTGGTTTTTGAGTCCTGGGTAAATGACGCTCCACTTTTACATCTGGAATCCAGATGCACCTGCAGATATGTGGTTTAGTGTATAGACCGACACAGTAAAGCAGGTATCACAATAAAGTGAGTCACACAAACGTTTTGGTTTCCCTGAGCATATGATGTTAAGCTCACGGTAACTTTAGGCTATAAGTGTTAAAAGGTATTATGTCTAAAAAGTAATGTATAGCCCTGGCTGGTGTAGCTCAGTGGATTGAGTGCAGGCTAGTGAACCAGAGGGACATGGGTTCGATTCCCAGTCAGGGCACTTGCCTGGGTTGTGGACCAGGTCCCCAGTGAGGGGAGGGTGAAAGGCAACCACACATTGATGTTTCCCTCTCTTTCTTCCTCCTTTCCCCTCTCTAAAAATAAAATTTTTTAGAAAGCAATATACATACCTTTATTAAAATATACTTTGTTGTTAATAAAAATGCTACTATCATCTGAACCTTTAGTGAGTTGTAATCTTTTGCTGGTGGGAAATCTTACCTTCAATTTCAAAACAAACACAGCCTGATTGGGCAGGGCTTGGTTGGAGCATTGCCCCACACACCAAAGGTTACGGTGCCGGGGTCCAGCCTCAGCGGGGTCTCAGGGTCCCCAAAGGATGCACAGCTAAGGCAAAACGAGTGAATTGAGACACCCAGTGGGGTGCCGGAGGACAGCCAGGCTTTTTGGGGCCTGACTGACCGAAAAAAATCAATATTTTTATAAGGGAGGTTATACAACATTCAATGCATAGTGTGGTTATTAAAACAGAAACAGTTACCACAGAAATAATTTCTAAAAACGAAGGTTTTACAGATCAATCATGTTAAAAAAAAATGGAAATGTACAGGAAGTCCCACAGATCAACCATATTAAAGCTTTTTTTGACCAAGAGGGTCAATCAGTTAGCCAACAAAGCTATACAGGCACAGACTTTTCAGGTGCTAATTAGTAACTAGGTATCTATTAAGATTCTAGGGACTGGTCTAAATTAAAAGGGTGCAAAGGGTGATTTATAGATATATAGAAATGAATTTATCCATTAAGGTTAAATTTATCGGTTAGGTAACTGGTTTTTTGCCAGAGTTTTTTGATTTTATACATCTTGAGGGGACAGGTTTTGTATTCGTTTCCATGTATTGAGATCATTATTTCCAACTAGAACTCCTTGCTTCTTTACACTCCTGTCCAGGGTATGGGAGGGGGAGTGGCTCTAATAAATCTTAAGCTTTTGAGTGGTGACTCCTTAAGAAACATTCCTAGCAACAGCTTCCTCCAGCATTCTGGCAGTTGGTCTGCCCATAGTTTAATTTTGTCCTGAACTTCCCAGGTGGGGGAAGCTGGCAACATTAGGGTTGCTAGGGGTCCCTATTCTGTGGTCAGCAAGTCATTTCACGCAGAATCAGAGGCATCGTGCAGACTTTTTGTTATAACACACAGGTGTCCAAAAATCCCACCACCTATTGCTAGCAGGAACAGGCATACAGGAGGAGATAGATGTACAGATGCATCTCACCTGACCCGACTGTGTCAAAGGTCTGCTGTTGGTAGGCTCCCAACAATACGGGTTCCATCTCCATCTCCATTGAGGGCACTACCCAGCTAGGGTTGAATTTCTGGTTAGGGTGGGTACAGGAGGCGACTAACTAACGTTTCTCTCACATCGATGTTTCTCTCTCTCTCTCTCTCTCTCTCTCTCTCTCTCTCTCTCTCTCTCTGCCTTCCTCTCTGTAAAATCAGTAACAACAACCCTGGGTGAGGATGAAAATTAAACAATGCAGTCTCTATGAAGTGCAGCAGCACGCTGTACACCTGTGTGTCAGTGACCAAGCACAGGCTGAATGGCCGGCCTCACAGAGCCCGTGTTGTGGCAAGGGGACAAACTGCCCTGTGACCACAGTCAGTGAGGAAAGAGTTCCTGTGAGCAGGCAGGAGGTGCTGTGGAGAAGCGGACACACTGGGGTATGTTGGGAGAGGCAGGAGGCCTGTTAGAATTCAGGTGGTCAGCGTGGGCCTCCCGGGAAGGTGGCCTTGGAGGAGAGATGAGAAGGACACTAGCCATTGCCCAGCAGGAGGCCTGGGGCAGGCTCCTTCCAGGCAGGGAGCCTCCCATGAAGACGCCCTGGGGAGGGAGCCTCTGGGTGTGGTTTGGAACAGCCAGGAGCCAGTGTGGCTGCAGCGGAGTCTTGGGAGGGGGTCAGATTCTGGCCACATCATGCAGGCCTGGGGGAGATTGGGAGAGTTTTCACCTTGAGGGAGTCATTTTTGAGCAAAGACAGATATAGCATGACTTCCCTTTTACTTAATTTTATTTTTTAGATTTTATATATTTAGTTTTAGACAGAGGGGAAAGGAAGAAGAAAGAGAGGGAGAGAAACATCAATATGTGGTTTCCTCTTACTCCCCACAGAAGGGGGAGCAGGGTTTGGACCTGGCCAGAAACGCAGCCATGTGCCCTGACTGGGAATCAAATCTGTGACCCTTTGCTTCACAGTCTGGCACTCAATCCACTGAGCCACGCCAGCCAGGGCTATTTAATTTTTTTTTTTAGTTACAGAAAGATTTATTGTAAAATTACAAGTATGTATATATAGCAGAACTGACTTAGATGAAAAGCTCCAAAGTGTGTGGTTTCCCATAGGTGTTAGTGTATCTACACCTTCACCCCATTTATTAAGCTGTTCTACGTAACTTTACATTCATGCACTTACCATGAAGTGTGGAGACAACCTGGGAGGGACAAACTGTGTGCCACGGGACAAGGGGACTTCATGGCTTCCCAGTGATGTTCCCTGTGACCACCTGTGCTCCATGGGCAATTAAGGGTTCCTTTCAGCACATCCAAATGTGACCTTTTGGAGCCTCTGGCTATGGCTGGTTGAGTCCCCTGATTCTAACCAATTGCTGCTTTGTAGCCTAGGAGTCACCCCAAGCTTCCAGTCCCCACTCTTGTAGACCGCAGAGGTGTTCATGTGGGGTCAGAGAGCTGACCAATCAGAAGGTGAGAACACCTGCTTAAAGCAGGAACTGTTCTAGCATCCATGATCCTTAACCCGCTGTAAACACTGCTCTCATTCTGCAGATGCTGAGTCCTGGAAGGTCAAGCCCAGGGAGCTGAATTCCTTAGTGGCTTCCTCTGAGAGTTCCTCCCCAGGAGAGAGGCCTTGGGACACAACACATACTGGGTTGTGTTGGGAGAGGGGGGAGGCCTGTTGGAAATCTGGCTGCTAAGTCAGACTTAAGTCAGCCTGGCTGCTAAGCTGAGGACAGAATCAGGAGACAAGGGACCAGTGAGGCAGGAGGGAAAGGTGTGGGGAAGCTCCCATGGTTCCAGGCTGCAGGTGCTGGGTGTTCTGACAGGGCTGTGAGTGGCAGAAACAGTGGGAAGGGACTGGACACTGAATGCATTTCAAAGATGGATTTCACAGCATTCCCTAATGATTCCATCTGGGGTGTGGGGAAGGAGTCAAGGAGGACACCCCAGACTTCAGCCAAGATGGAAGCATAGGTAGACACACTGTGCCTCCTCGCACAACCAAGATAGGGACAACAGCAATTTAAAAACAGAATAACAACCAGAACTGATAGAAAATTGAACTGTATGGAAGTCAGACAACCAAGAAGTTAAAATAGACACGTTCATCCAAACCAATAGGAGGCGTGGAGAGGGGTCGAGACACAAAGAGCGGTGGGATCGGGCATGTAAGGCATCCCGGGTGCACAAGACTGGAGCGCAGGTGGCGACTGGCAAACCCCAGGCATGGGGTGGCACCCGGCAGACCCAGCAAGTCAGCGATTGTGAAGCAAGGCACTGCGTGCAACCCAGGGTCCCAGCACTGCAAAATAGAGCCTCCGGGCACTGATTGAAAACACCTGTGGGGGCTGAGGCACAGGGAGAGACTCCCAGCCTCACAGGAGAGTTCGTTGGAGAGACCCACAGGGTCCTAGAATGTACACAAGCCCACCCACATGGGAATTAGCACCAGAAAGGCCCAGTTTGCTTGGGGGACGTGGTGGAAGGGACTGAAGTCCGATGGAGAGTGGAGCAAGTGCCATTGTTCCCTCTCGGACCCACCCTTACATACAGCATCACAACCCAGTGACTGGGTTGCCCCACCCTGATGAACATCTAAGGCTCTGCCCCTCATACCCAACAGGCACAACAAGCCAAAAAAAAAAAAAAAAAAGGTCCAAACGGAAGAACAGATCAATGCTCCAGAACAAATACAACTAAGTGACCAAGAGGTAGCCAACCTATCAGATGCACAGTTCAAAGCACTGGTGATCAGGATGCTCACAGAACTGGTTGAATTTGGTCACAAATTACATGAAAAAATGAAGGCTATGCTAGGTGAAATAAAGGAAAATGCACAGGGAACCAACACTGATAGGAAGAAAACTGGGACTCAAATCAATAGAGTGGACCAGAAGGTAGAAAGAAACAACCAAACAGAAAAGAATGAAGAAACAAGAATTCAGGAACAATGAGGAGAGGCTTAGGAACCTCCAGGACATCTTTAAACCTTCCAACATCCAAATTATAGGGGTACTAGAAGGGGAAGAGGAAGAGCAACCAGTGGAAAAGTTATTTGAACAAATAATAAAGGAGAACTTCCCCAATCTGGCAAAGGAAATAAACTTCCAGGAAGTCCAGGAAGCTCAGAGTGTCCCAAATAAGCTGGACCCAAGGAGGAACATGCCAAGGCACATCATAATTACATTAGCCAAGGTGAAAATGAAGGAGAGAATCCTAGAAGCAGCAAGAGATAAGGAGACAGTGACCTACAAAGGTGTTTCTATCAGACTGTCAGCTGATTTCTCCAAAGAGACCTTGCAGGCAAGAAGGGGATGGAAAGAAGTATTCTAAGTCATGAAAGGCAAGGACCTACACTCAAGATTGTTCTATCCAGCAAAGCTTTCATTTAGAATGGAAGGGCAGATAAAGTGCTTCTCAGATAAGGTCAAGTTCAAGGAGTTCATCATCACCAAGCCCTTATTTTGTAAAATGTTAAAGGGACTTATGTAAGAAAAAGAAGATAAAAAACATGTATAGTAAAATGACAGCAAACTCACAATTATTAACAACCACACCTAAAACAAAAACAAAAACAAAAAACTAAGCAAACAACTAGAACAGGAACAGAACCACAGAAATGGAGATCACATGGAGGGTTAGCAACAGGGAAGTGAGAGGAGGAGAGAGGGGGCAAAGGTACAGAAAATAAGTAGTATAGATGGTAGGTAGAAAATAAACAGGGGGAGGGCAAGAATAGTATGGGAAATGTAGAAGCTAAAGAACTTATGACACATGGACAT